TNTCAGACACGATCTCTTCAGGAGCTTCAGATTCAATTGTGATCTCTTCTTTGAAGGTTTCCTCAGTCTCTGGTTGAGTCTCTTCAGGACCTTCAGAGGTAATTGTAACCTCTTCTTTGAAGGTTTTCTCAACCTCTGGTTGAATCTCTTCGGGTTCTTCGGGAGCAACAGTGACCTCTTCTTTGAAGGTTTCTTCAACCTCTGGTTGAGTTTCTTCAGGACCTTCAGAGGTAATTGTAACCTCTTCTTTGAAGGTTTCTTCAACTTGAGGCTTAATCTCTTCAGGGCCTTCAGAAACTATTGTGATTTCTTCTTTGTAGGTTTCTTCCACTTCTGGTTGAGTTTCTTCAGGGCCTTCAGAAGCTATTGTGATCTCTTCTTTGAAGGTTTCTTCAACTTCTGGTTGAGTTTCTTCAGGGCCTTCAGAAACTATTGTGATCTCTTCTTTGAAGGTTTCTTCAACTTCTGGTTGAGTCTCTTCAGGACCTTCAGAAGCAACAGTGACATCTTCTTTGAAGATTTCCTCAACTTCTGGTTGAGCTTCCACTGTTTCTCGAGTTTCCTCGATGATTTCGTCAGTTGGTCTTCCAACTTCAACAACTATTTCTTTAGGTTTATCTTCTGTTGGAATTTCTCTGTCAACTTCCTCAGTAATGACTGATTTCTGAATTGTTTCTTTTGTTTCTTCAACAATTTCTTGAGAAGGAGCCATGATTTCAACCTCAGTAGTTTCCGAGGGTTTCTCTTCCTCAGGGACCTCTTCTTGATCAACTGTAATCTGTTCAGTAACAGTTTCTGTAATTGTCTCTTCAGTGACGACTTGAGTATCTTCAGGAATAGTCAACTGGATCTCCTCTGGAACTGGTTTCTCCTTTGTAGCTATGGTTACCTCCTCTTTGTGAAGCTCAGTTTCTGTGACTTCATCAGGAGTTTCCTCGCTTTCAATGACAATCTCCTCTTTATGTGTCTCAGTCTCCTGAACATCCAGCTCAGAAATCTCTTCTTCTGGTTTATCTGACTTGACAGAAATGTCCAACTGAACTTCTTCAGTGTCTGGTTTCTCTTTGGGAGATATAACAATCTCTTCTTTATGAATCTCAGTTTCAGACACGATCTCTTCAGGAGCTTCAGAATCAATTGTGATCTCTTCTTTGAAGGTTTCCTCAGTCTCTGGTTGAGTCTCTACAGGACCTTCAGAGGTAATTGTAACCTCTTCTTTGAAGGTTTCCTCAACCTCTGGTTGAATCTCTTCGGGTTCTTCAGGAGCAACAGTGACCTCTTCTTTGAAGGTTTCTACAACCTCTGGTTGAGTTTCTTCAGGACCTTCAGTGGTAATTGTAACCTCTTCTTTGAAGGTTTCTTCAACTTGAGGCTTAATCTCTTCAGGGCCTTCAGAAACTATTGTGATCTCTTCTTTGTAGGTTTCTTCCACTTCTGGTTGAGTCTCTTCAGGACCTTCAGAGGTAATTGTAACCTCTTCTTTGAAAGTTTCTTCAAGTTCTGGTTGAGTCTCTTCGGGACCTTCAGGAGCAACAGTGACCTCTTCTTTGAAGGTTTCTTCAACCTCTGGTTGAGTCTCTTCAGGACCTTCAGAGGTAATTGTAACCTCTTCTTTGAAGGTTTCCTCAACCTCTGGTTGAATCTCTTCGGGTTCTTCAGGAGCAACAGTGACCTCTTCTGGGTGTGCTTCCACTGTTTCTCGAGTTTCCTCGATGATTTCGTCAGTTGGTCTTCCAACTTCAACAACTATTTCTTTAGGTTTATCTTCTTTTGGAATTTCTCTGTCAACTTCCTCAGTAATGACTGATTTCTGAATTGTTTCTTTTGTTTCTTCAACAATTTCTTGAGAAGGAGCCATGATTTCAACCTCAGTAGTTTCCGAGGGTTTGTCTTCCTCAGGGACCTCTTCTTGATCAACTGTAATCTGTTCAGTAACAGTTTCTGTAATTGTCTCTTCAGTGACGACTTGAGTATCTTCAGGAATAGTCAACTGGATCTCCTCTGGAACTGGTTTCTCCTTTGGAGCTATGGTTATCTCCTCTTTGTGAAGCTCAGTTTCTGTGACTTCATCAGGAGTTTCCTCTGCTTCAATGACAATCTCCTCTTTATGTGTCTCAGTCTCCTGAACATCCAGCTCAGAAATCTCTTCTTCTGGTTTATCTGACTTGACAGAAATGTCCAACTGAACTTCTTCAGTGTCTGGTTTCTCTTTGGGAGATATAACAATCTCTTCTTTATGAATCTCAGTTTCAGACACGATCTCTTCAGGAGCTTCAGAATCAATTGTGATCTCTTCTTTGAAGGTTTCCTCAGTCTCTGGTTGAGTCTCTTCAGGACCTTCAGAGGTAATTGTAACCTCTTCTTTGAAGGTTTCTTCAACTTCTGGTTGAATCTCTTCGGGTTCTTCGGGAGCAACAGTGACCTCTTCTTTGAAGGTTTCTTCAACCTCTGGTTGAGTTTCTTCAGGACCTTCAGTGGTAATTGTAACCTCCTCTTTGAAGGTTTCTTCAACTTCAGGCTTAATCTCTTCAGGGCCTTCAGAAACTATTGTGATCTCTTCTTTGAAGGTTTCTTCAACTTCTGGTTGAGTCTCTTCAGGACCTTCAGAAGCAACAGTGACATCTTCTTTGAAGATTTCCTCAACTTCTGGTTGAGCTTCCACTGTTTCTCGAGTTTCCTCGATGATTTCGTCAGTTGGTCTTCCAACTTCAACAACTATTTCTTTAGGTTTATCTTCTGTTGGAATTTCTCTGTCAACTTCCTCAGTAATGACTGATTTCTGAATTGTTTCTTTTGTTTCTTCAACAATTTCTTGAGAAGGAGCCATGATTTCAACCTCAGTAGTTTCCGACGGTTTGTCTTCCTCAGGGACCTCTTCTTGATCAACTGTAATCTGTTCAGTAACAGTTTCTGTAATTGTCTCTTCAGTGACGACTTGAGTATCTTCAGGAATAGTCAACTGGATCTCCTCTGGAACTGGTTTCTCTTTTGGAGCTATGGTTATCTCCTCTCTGTGAAGCTCAGTTTCTGTGACTTCATCGGGAGTTTCCTCTGGTTCAATGACAATCTCCTCTTTATGTGTCTCAGTCTCCTGAACATCCAGTTCAGAAATCTCTTCTTCTGGTTTATCTGACTTGACAGAAATGTCCAACTGAACTTCTTCAGTGTCTGGTTTCTCTTTGGGAGATATAACAATCTCTTCTTTATGAATCTCAGTTTCAGACACGATCTCTTCAGGAGCTTCAGAATCAATTGTGATCTCTTCTTTGAAGGTTTCCTCAGTCTCTGGTTGAGTCTCTTCAGGACCTTCAGAGGTAATTGTAACCTCTTCTTTGAAGGTTTCCTCAACCTCTGGTTGAATCTCTTCGGGTTCTTCGGGAGCAACAGTGACCTCTTCTTTGAAGGTTTCTTCAACCTCTGGTTGAGTTTCTTCAGGACCTTCAGAGGTAATTGTAACCTCTTCTTTGAAGGTTTCTTCAACTTGAGGCTTAATCTCTTCAGGGCCTTCAGAAACTATTGTGATCTCTTCTTTGAAGGTTTCTTCAACTTCTGGTTGAGTCTCTTCAGGGCCTTCAGAAACAACAGTGATCTCTTCTTTGAAGGTTTCTTCAACTTCTGGTTGAGTCTCTTCAGGGCCTTCAGAAACAACAGTGATCTCTTCTTTGAAGGTTTCTTCAACCTCTGGTTGAGTCTCTTCAGGACCTTCAGAAACAACAGTGACCTCTTCTTTGAAGGTTTCTTCAACTTCTGGTTGAGTGTCTTCAGGACCTTCAGAAACAACAGTGACCTCTTCTTTGAAGGTTTCTTCAACTTCTGGTGAGTCTCTTCGGGACCGTCAGAAGCAA